TTCGTTCGCTCTTTTCATTACTGATCGACTAAGTCGCATTTAATCTGATTTTCGGGAGAAATGACCCACATCTAACCAATCGCAGAAGCGCTTGTAGTTTGCCGCTTAGGTTGGGTATAGCCGAGATGTAATTTAACTTCATTGAGTAAACAAGAAAAACATCGGTACAGTCATAAACAAGTCGCCTCTCTGCCTTACGTGAGGGCATAAGTGTTATTGTAGCATTTATGACAGAATGGACGACGATCAACCTCCTTGAAGGTGCCTTTGGTGAGCTGTCGATTACAGTAAGAGCATCGGAAATGCTCTGGATGGAATTTCCTGCCGATTGCCGTCACACAACGGCCTGAGATCGGTGCGCGACATTCGTGACACAACGAGCCGCGACGCTCGTGATAGTGTGTCTCGCATAACGGCTGACCGCCATCGTCGAAGAACGTGCCGCCACCGAACGAACTGCCGCACATCTGCAGAAGGACAGACAACACTCCACAACACTCCACACCGACATTTGAGAAAAGCTAACAAAGGTTAATAAAATCTACACAAAATACGAGTTGGTCCGCAAAAAAAGTCCGGCACCAAACGAAGCCTTCAAGAAAAGTTCATGACTGTATCAAAAAATCACGTCTCGTAATAATTTTTCCCGAAGGAGAGGTTCATGACAAACAGATCAGGGCAAAAATACTCCCTGAAACCAGTATGAGCGTTTGATGACGTTCACTGAGTTGGCCGTCATAAAGTTGGCGAAAAGGGCAGAGAAGGTGTCCCCCAAACAAACCACTCAAGCGTCGCCTTTTGCAAGGCGCCCAATGACGTCCCCCCGAAAGCCGGCTCCGCCCCACCCATCACAATCTCACCCAACCCATCACAATCTATGCCCAATCTTTCTCGCTTCGGACAATCCTTGGAAAAAAGAGGAAAAAGAGCTGTTTTCGACACTCCTGAATGACTGAAGATAGCGTAGTGCATGAAAAAACCATCTATGTTGGGAAATTCGAATCCGCTAGGACACGTCCAATCGCGCCTACGGGCCAGTCCGCCGGAAGAATGCAGACTTTGTCCCAGACCGAAGGGAAAAACACTGGCTGGACACTCGGTTGCTTTCAAAAATCACTAAGTTTGGCATTGTACAGATCATCGTCACACCTATGTACAGCGATTCAGTGTAAATGCCAAACGCATGGCTTATCTCAGGACTGATCAACTGTTAGCACATTTTTCGGCGCTATCGTAATATACGAGTGCATCTGTTAGGAGTAAGCCTAGGGGGGTCAGCAACTCCGGGTAAAGTGAAGACGGCTCACGCACCCTGGAGTCTCTTTTCCCTGCCTGAAACTATGCCCGTTTTTATCAAAAAGGACATATTTCGACGCGGTTTGAAATGGACTGTCACCACAATACCCCGTTTCTTGCGATAGCGATCATTTTTTTCTTCACTAGAGCTGAAAAGTTTCCCACCCCATCCTGAATGCCTTCCTCAGCACCTGAAAGAGTAATCAAAAAAGCCCAACTGAAAGAGGTCGAAAGTCAAATTATGCGAGTAAATGTAGGCATTTTAAGCCCACAGCATCAGGCCTACCCAGACCACCCAAACTACTCGACTTTATCCGCAGTACAGAGTTTTCTAGAGAGCGAAAGCGTCGATTTAAGTATGGTTAACAGAAAATTTCCTGTAAAACGGCTATGACGATCTCCAGAACAAAACAAATGGGTTAAAAAAAGCTCGAAAGAATGTCGAAAATGTGGCGTGCCATTGAAGGGCGTGACACGTGGGAACACTGCTGGTTGAAGTTGCAGTTTTTAGGAAAATTTTGACAAAATTATGACTTCCTTACGTGGTGACTACAGATGCTTGAATTTTGGGACAGTTCTTGGCAGCTCTCCAACTTTCACCAATCAATAACTATTTCTATGCTAAGAACAACCATGGGTTGAAAGAAACTCTGAGATGGGACCCATAGATTACTTTAGTAAAGCACGCGCGGAGACGAAAGAGCATAGGGAACGAGAGGGACGTAAACATCAACGCGAAACCATCGAAAACCCTGCACAAAGGGTCTCATTTTCATTATTTTTTTCTGGACAGCATAGGAATCCTTGAGAAGACATTATAAGAGACACTCGTCGCCGAGGTGAGAAAACAGGGTCGGAGAGGAGAGAGCATAGGGGACCAAAGAGACGCAGACATGAGCGCATCTGCAAGGGTGTGCCTACATAGATACGTGGTTGGTGCATGGCTGCGAAGGATCAGCTTTTATCACCCTTATCACATTCTCTGAGCAACGAAAATGGCACTTCCTCTGCAACTACGGGTCTAGCTTCAACGTTCACGGGAGGAATTGTTCCAATGGATAAATGATGGAATAAACCTTTGGACTGAATTTATATTTTCTCAAAAAAAGCCGTGGTTTTCGTGCACGACGCTTTCAGTACTTTCGATGGGTAACCTAGTAAAATAACTACAACATCATCAATTAATTAACAAAACTCAAATACCAGACATGAACGATGTTACCAGAAGGAACTCATGCTACACTTTGCACAATCACCCCTATTAGTGCAGTTCAGATTTTATTAAAGTTCGCGCAAAAAGCTTCCTCGTCTACAAAAAGGGCTCACGTACCTGACAAACAAAACATTCCGGATGCCAATGAGTGCCAAGCGCCGTGATAAAGTTGCTAGTGATCGGATTCTGGCAACCGTTGCATTTCGGCGCAAAAAGTCGGAAAAAGTCACGGCGACAGTATGTTTGGCCATCCTGGAAACGAAAACTTGTATAAAAGGATACCCTAAAAGCCCATAGATAAGATAAGATAGCGGTCCATAGATATTTTTTCAAAA